CAACAGTTAGTTTTATTCCCTTTTGTATTTAATCAAATTGTTTGTCTGTATCTAAACGGAGAAGGATTTTGCATCCTTTTGTAATCATTTATCCTTCTATTTCAAGCTGAAACAGAAATGCTTGTTGCAACATGAATTATAATGGACACATTGATTGATGTTCCACACAAGGCAACTCAAAGACCTTTACAAAAAACAATTGAATCCCCCAGTCAGAGCTGGTTAATGTGGCCAGGGAAAGGGAAGTCTGGGATCCTCTGCTGGAACTGCTCCCCCCGCCACCTGACTCCAGAGAAGAGGTTGAAAATGGACGGATGGATGGATAGATGAAAGCCGACTTTGTAGATGTCTAATTGTGTGGTTTTAACATTGCCGATTGAATCTGACCGCCGATTTTTAATAGTTCTTCTTTGGCTCCTAAAACCAATTACTGTACCTCAGTTTTATCTTTAATTTAAAAAAAGTTCCGTCATATCTGACCATTGATTTGTTCAATGAACTTACTGATGGCTTGTATTGGACCTTATTCCCCCAGGTGAAATAGTAATGTAAATATAAGTGTCGTCTACTTAGCTAAACTAAAGTCTTGATGTTTTTTTTATGTGAGCACCTTTAAGTATAGCACCTTGGTATACTTTTGGGCGCGGCTTCTTTGTGATTGGCAGGTCGTTACCAAGGTGTTGTCTTCGTTTCTGTTTTACAACTTTAACCCTTTCACACTGTTTTCCATTCATGAAAGTTAATTGTGACATTTTGTCTGGCCATTGTACTCAACCAGTGTCACTTCTGGCTCCCAAGTAAAAATACAACGGAAATGGCAAAAATGCCAAACTAAAAGAAAAACTATGGTCCAACCAATGGAACCAAGTCTGTTTTTCTTGCCACCTGAAATTCTAAAAATGTTTTTGTAAAACATCTTATCCTTTAGCTCTATAGATCTTACAGTTGCTAGACCTTATCAGCTACTGTACAGTGGATTCTAACTTTATCAGTCTGCTGTTTGTTCCTGGGCAGAGAGTACACAGCCTTTTTGTCAGGAGTTGCTGGACTCAGGGTTGAGGAGAGCAGTGAGAACCATACAAAACAGGACTTTAAACTCCTTTCACGTTCCATTCAGTCATCCTGTCTAACCTTGAACCTGTTAACCCAATCACCCCTTATCTCTACTGTCGTCCATCCATCCTCCACCTGACATGCTAGGATCTCAGAATCTGGCCCTGCTGAATATTCATGGCTACAATTGCAGTCAGTGTGGCATTTGGGAGGCGTGTGGTGCAGTGGGTTGTGCGTTGGTGTTCGGATCATGGGGTCACAGGTTCAAACCCCACTGCAGTCAGCATGTCGTTGTGTCCCTGGGCAAGACACTTCACCCCAAATTGCTCCTGTGGGGATTGCCCACAGTATTGAGTATGTAAGTCGCTTTGGATAAAAGCGTCTAACAAGTGACATGTAATGTAATATAACGTCACAGTGTCAGTATGCCCAAGAGTTGCTGGCACAATTGGAGCAGGATCAGAGCTACTGTAGGTCAGCAAACATTATGAGTTTTCCTGCATCGGTAAATTACATCTGACAATGTGCCTGACACAGATACAGAGAGACCAGGTGGGAAAATAAGAAAGGTGAAAAACTAAAAGAAAAGACAGCAAAGAACCTGGGTTTTAAAAGAATGAAAGATAGTAAATAATAATGTATGTTATCTTTGCTGTTCAGCTGCTGATATTCTCTTACTTTAGGTTGTATTTGTCATGGCTTCAAATTCACTTATTCTAAAAGCAAGTGAGCTGTCGGTCCACCCTATTTTTTATAAAAACCTAATCGAAACACTCTAAGAAAAACAGACAAACTCTGCAGGGGAGATACAAAATAAACCTCAGCGGGCTTATAACAACTCTCCACTCAAAGATAAAAATTAGAAAATAAAGGTAATTTTGAATGTGTTGCTATCCGCAGAGTTTTGATGTTTTGTGTTGGCAGTAGTTTGAACCACTATGAGCAGGCTCCAGATCAGTCCTGTTGGATTCCATGTGCTCAGCAGGAACTTCCTGTTGTGTCTGATACAGGAGCTGGCACTTTGATCTTTTTCATATCCACAATGATAGAGGAAGTCAGAGCTCATTATTTATTTATTTTTGTCTTCGTGGTCAATTTCACTGTATGATTTGAAGCTTGCTGGGCTTGGATTTAAACAACAAAGACACAAACAATATTCCTACTTCCCTTTAAGCCCAAACATAGCATGTTATAACAAAAGTAAACTGCAGGAAAACTTTGGCAACCCTTAAGGTATCATCAATTATGTCTTTGCTATGTTTTGCTATGTTTATTCCAGGGAAGGTTCACGGTCTACTTTTCCCTCAACACCCAGTGTAGCCAGTTAGCCTCTCACTCCAAACCATATACTGTATCAAGTTCAATCACAGTGATGTCACCTATGTGTTTGTGGACTACGGCTCAGAATCCTTGAGTTAGACGGTTTGGTCCTCGCCATTTTGGTTTTTGAATGCTGAACAAGATATCGATAGGTGACCATAATGTCACAATTATTTTTCATGAACTGAAAATACATTGTGAAAGGCTTTAAATTGTATAGCCAAAACACAGACAGCACCCACATTGTAAACACCATGGCTGTCAGGTAAGTGAAGCAGGGTGGACCCAAAGCAAGACAAAGGAGCACTTATTATTCAAGTCTTGATCCAGAAAAGGCAAAACAGAACACAACTTACCAATCACAACAAACAAGAATCCAACAAAGACTAAACAGAAAGAACATGACTTAAATACAAGCAGAACTAATGAGGGGATAACGTGCAGGCGTACAGGAGCTAATGAGGAACAGGTGGAACTAATAAGGTCAGGACAGACAGTCAAAACAGGCGTGAAAACACACAAAGACAGGAAATCAAAACAAACATGATACATGCACACACTGCCTTATCGCATATTTGACTCTAAATGGGATCATTATAAAAACAATTGCGACCATAAACCCAATACGAAAGTGTTTAATTAGGCAATAAATCAAGTGAGAAGTAAGGTCATTTTCTCCCTGGCTTTTATACAATTTGATATCTTTTTGCAACCTGTAGATTCCCCCCTTGCTGTGGAGAGAATCCTAATTTAAGTCACTCTGTTATTGGGGCTTCTCTTTTTAAGACCTGAAGGTGCAGCATGTTTCAAACCAGTGAGGTTGTGTTTATGTTGAACATAACTTTCCCACAGTATAACATGGGAAAATTGACCCCAAACTTTAAGGTCCTCTATCCACAAAGCACCTTTTCTTGAGCACCAGCGTATTTTTTCAATGGATTCCAATGAGAACAGAATGCATGCTGTTGCAAGTGGCCGCCTCGAGTAAAAGTGTTACACAAAGCGTGTTTTTTTCAGAGCTCACCGACTTTTTTGTGCAGAAACTATCACAGCAAAGACCAAAAAGCTCATTTGTTTGTGCAGATCTGTCGGGCGGACCCTGAATGAGGCTGCCGGTGATGTTGTGACTTTATCTCTGTATGTGGATCGTCCTCCTCACTCAGCTGTCAGACTGAGCGGTGAAGCTCACAAAGTGACAAAGTGAGAGAGTAAGAATCCTCCAGTTGGTGTTCATGATGAAAACAACAATTTCAAACTGTTAAATAGTATAAATAGTAGCACAAACATATAATAAATCCAAGGGGGCCAAACTCATAAGTCATACAACAGTGTGATAAGATATTGTTGTAATCAAGATATTGTTGTCATAGAAACAAGTGGTGCAAGTGTTTTTGTGATGAAAACCTTGGAGGAGGCTCTGCCCAGCACCCTGCCTGTCCCTTTCTGTCAAAAATAGACCCTATGTGAACACAGAGCCTTAGATGACAAATCTGTAAACAAAAAAAAGTTACTCTTCAGTTATGAAGGCTGGATATTCCTCTGCAGTTCACAGAAGAACAGATTATAGTTGGGATGAGTGCCATTTTGTTTGTCATCACCTTTGTGATATGCAGGATGGTCTCAACTGGACACTGGACGCTGCACTAGGTCAGAAACCAGAGGAGACTGTGAAGTCCATCGTAGACGGACCACTTTTGGTCAAAATGTCCTCTCCATTAAAGGCAGCTCATTGTGGAATAGCCTCCCTACTCAGATACGGGATTGTCCCACTCTCAATAGTTTCAAAGGTCAACTCAAAGAATGGTTGAGAAACAAACAGACGTGCAATCACCGCTAAATGCACTTTAACACAGGGGCATCTCCTCTTGCACTTTAGGTAGCTCTTGTATCTTCTCTTGCACTCTACATGTGGTAGCTGCTATATTGTATTACCATGTCATAAATACTTGTGTGCTGCTCTTGCTCTTTTTGCATATCATGTATTTATTTTTTGCTATGTTTATAAATGTCATGTTCTTATATGTTGTATGTCAGGGACTACAGATGGAAATGAGCTCAAAGCTCAAATCCGGCATATTTACACTTGAAGCATTAATTGTCTTAAAGGTGGGGTATGTAATTTATTTCAGAAACACTTGTTGCTATATTCCATGGAATGCTCTTAACATCCTGATAGCAATGAATATCTTAAGTGCTTTGACAATAAATACATAAAAAAATGTCATCTGTGGAAGCCATAATACTGTAAAAAGCACGACCAATCATTTTAGCCGCCGCTAAAATAACTGGATGGCCTACCTGCCTGTCAGCCTTCCATCTGTGCACAAACTTATCTCGTGCCCTCATTGGTCATGTGCGCGTTCGTGTGTGTTGGAGGAGGGGCTCTGTAAGGAAGTCTGAAGGAAGAGGCAGATTTTTTCCGGTTGTGTACTTTCAAATTCTAGCGCACTCGAGCTGGTTTCTCCAAAATGACATACCCCACCTTTAAGTGTTAATTAATGGGCATTGTCCCTATTAAAATAAACGATTAAATGAAATGAAACTGTAAGAAGGTTCATTTACATAGAAATGTTGGAGACGATGCAAATATCAGCAGTAAATAATCTGTTTTCATATGTGTGTGTCAGGTGATGGACAGGTGGATTTCGAGGAGTTTATGACGATCCTTGGACCCAAACTGCTGTCGTCTGAAACGAGAGATGGCTTCCTGGGCAGCACAATAGATAGCATCTTCTGGCAGGTAAAACTTTATCTTCTTAAACACATCTGTTCTGTTCTCTGCTGAATCGTGGTTTGAGCTGGATGTCAAGACACGGGTGCTGTATGTCTCAGTTAAAAATACATTTACTTCAAAGGAGAGCAGGAACCACTGATGAATAGTCCTGCCATTTCTCAACCATTCTTGTTTTTTTTCTCGAAACCAAGGGCAAACAACTATTTTGATTTTGTGTGTGGTTCAGAGTAATGGTTGTTGGTCTGCTGCACTTAAGAAGTTCAATTCAAGCTTTGCTCATGTATGACTGTTTCCGAATGATCCCAGAGAAATCAAAAAGTACCATTGGGACTCAAATTGAATACATATTTGGTTAAATGTTAAGATGTTCAAATTGTATACTACATTATTATACACATTTTGATGATCCTGAATGTGACATCGTAATCTGAGGAGAAATGTCTACTTACAACCAGGAGAAAGGCTTGTTTACAGAAATGATATTACAATTGGGAATGCATGCACAGCAGAGGGAAGGAAATCATGTTGCCATTGTCCCCTCTTGACCTGTGATCCAAAAGTCAATCTGAGCACTCTATTTTGAAGGATTTCTTTATTCCTAAAATAAATCTAGAGAAGGGAGGAAGCTTCTGGAGACGCTATTAGTGAGGATGCACTAGTGGATCCTTTGCACAAGTCTTCCAGCACCTGTGACATACAACAGAGCAGGAAACAATGCTGGAAATAAAAAAACACCTTATGCCAGGATGTAAATTAAATTAAAATGATATATTAAGTCATTATGTTCATTTGAAAGTGATCATAAAAAATGTGGTTATAAAATATTGAGACGGCTCTTGTAGCTGTGACACACGTCATATTTGATTTACATTACTTTAAAATGAGCGCTCCTGACCATTTTGTTAAATGCATGTTGCCTCACCACCTTGATTCCTCTGTCCTTGTGCCTATTCCTCGCCACTAATAGCATCTTAGGTAGAAGGGACTGAGATGTGATGAAAGGAGGCTTGGTAAGAAATCATGGTCGTTGTGATGCCCCTGTGGGTTCATCTGGAGAGAGTGTGGCTGTGCTGCATCCAGCCGCCTTGATTGTAGTAACTCAGGGCACCTGGGTCTGGTGCCCTGCAGCTAAGCCTCTCTGCTCCTCTCTGGGTGTTTCTCAATCGCGAGTACGCTTGCTTGGTAGCACATGTCTGCCGAGCATCTTGCTTCAGAAGCGAGTCAAGAATACTTCCTGGCATTCGGAAAACGAAGTGTGGAACACGCTAGCAAGTGTGCAGGTGTGCGTCATATGAGAGGCCCCGCCTCTTACATCTTCCGCCACAGATTTGGGGAAATTGGTCCGTGCGCAAAGCATTGTGGGGATTTTAAGACCGCGGAGTCTACTCATGTGCAGACTCGATATTTCTCCAAACGGAGTACGCCGGGCTCGGTAGATTTCCAAGTATGCTGGAGATTGGAACAGTACTTCGGCGGCACTCGATGACGTAGTATGCTTGAAATAATGGCTCTGAAGCAGCTTTACTCGCGATTGAGAAACACCCACAGTCTTCCCTCTGCTTTCTCCTGCAGGCACCCGGCTCTGTTGAGTATGCTATCAGTTATTTCAGTTGCTTCACTTTGTGCACCTCAACACCCTCACACATACATGTCCATGCAACCCTCACCCTGCATTTACACTACTGATACCACTGACGTCCACACCTCATGCTTTACTTACTTTGCACTGAATTAATTTGGTTAATTTGATTTACTTGCTTAAATAAACATATTTTGTTAACCGTTGATATGGTGTGTCTCCTCTTTGCTGTGGCCTTTTGAGCAAGGTCATAACAGTCGTACACAGTGGGAAATTGGAAAAGCCTTTTATTATAGACTTTACAAGTATTTATAGCTAGTAGAAGTATTAACACTTACACAGACTACACAGAGCTGGATCTGCACGCAGAGAGATTACCAGTGTGTCCTTTAATGACAGAACGGGTTGCAGAAGCCTTTTCTCACAATCATATATGATTTTAGTTGACATCAGAAACCCATCTGCAGAAATCAACATAATGGTTATCTAATTTCAATACATGTTGAGTAAGTAATGAATTCATTAACATTTGCGTTTTTGTTGAGGAGCAAATATCCTCCTTATTTGTTTTTATTTTGAAAAAGAATGAAGAAGACATTATATTTCAAGCCTAAAAGTACTTCACTCTTCTGAATGAATGTAATCTAAAAGTCTTGTCTCTAAGAAATACATAAGTTTCCATTTCTCCCACTGTTTCTTTACATCTTTAAATGGCAGAGCTAGTCAAAAGCCTAATATAGAGCGATTGATGTTCTCCAACATGCTGGTAATATATGACCCTGACAGAACTGCCTTTGGAAAAGAAGGCTTTCGACAATCTGTAGAGAATTGGTCAATGTCAGTACTGGGGGTAAACGGACTTTAAGTGAGACAGAGAGTGATACATGTGTGTGACAACAGAAAGACTGAGAGAGATGAATAAAGACAAATGGAGCAGGTGTAATGGCGCATTTCCATTGCAGCGCGTAGCTCGCTTTAAGCGTGCCGTGTCGTGCCGTCCCCTTTTTTGGTTGTGCTTCCACTAGGCCTCGTTCCGGCGCGGCACGGCGCGGGGCCACTTTTTCCCCTCTTTTCTGGCCCTAGAAAATTGTGGTTCTATCGGGGCCAACAAACAGGGCTGAGTCGGGCTGAGTATGCTAAACTAGAGAGAGGAGCGCTGGCAAGAGGGCTAGAACTACAACAAGATGGACATATTTGACCGTGATTTAATTGTAATACACGTTTCAAAATGATGCCGAAGTAACAACATACTGATACCGGTTAGTAAAAACCATGAATTAATGCTTTGTCAAGTCTGCAGACAGACGGCAGGCGAAAAACCTTTTAAAATTCGTGTTTTTCTAGATGGAGATTGGCTAAGCTAACGCAGTATATGCCCCGACCGTCCACACTCACAACAACGGCCTATACAGACATAAATACAGCAGCGACTGTATTCACCATGACACAGGCAGTCTGTGGTGTGTACTTGTTTAACTTTTGTCGAGTTTCTGAACATATATAAGGAGCTGTGAGCTCTGAGTGCTCACAGCTAACGGCTGTGTTGTGTTTCTGGATTTCTCATTGAAGATGACGTCACGGCTCCGCCTACACTGCGTTACTATAGTAACTACCCCAGTTCCTAAACTGTAATGGAAGCGCAGCATGAAGTGAGTCGGCCCTGTTAAGGCCCAACGCGGCCAAGCCGTACCGAGCCGTACCGAGTGTGGCCGAGGCCGACCGTGTAGTGGAAATGCGCCAAGAGACTGATAGTAACACTTGGCAGGCCCTCCTCTCCGTGTTATCATCGACTTGACCCCAGCTTCTTCTTGTGGGGGGGGGCCTGGTGGTTCACACCTCCAGGAGGTGTGAGTGCAGGGTGGGCTGCCAGCCCCATTTGGCTGCCGCAGTGCCCTTGGCCCATGCAGAAAGTAACAAAGTGGTTTGTTACTTACTCACATTATCCGTCTGATAAATCATTGCTTAGTAGCTGGAATAATTTGCAACTGTCTCATCTGATTTGTTTTTAGAAGAATAAATGTACCAAATAAATGATTCCTATGATTATTTCTCCACATGCCGCACAGATGATTAGTTGCTTGATGTATTACAGTTGTGTGCTTAGTTTGGTTTGTTTATGGATTGTGTGTGACTCAGTGGTGGAAAGTAACAAAGAACCTTTACCAAAGAACAATACTATTTTGACTTTGTTATGAATACTCCAGTATTTCCATTTTATGCTACTTTATTCTATACTCCACTATATTTAATAGTGAAATATCACACTTTTTACACCACAACTCTATTAGCTGGACTCTCTGACGTCTGTCCGAGGTACGGATCATCTTAGACATGTCTCCCACCCACTCCATGACACAAGTGTACCTTCAGTGAAAGACTCATTCTACCAAGATGCACCACAGAGCGCAACAGGAAGTCCTTCCTACCTGTGGCCATCAAACAGGAAGTCCCTCCTGCCTGCAATGCCTGCACACGTTTTACTTTATGTTTTATTTGAATATATCTTATCTTATCTTTTACTGCACATTATTACTTCTTATATTATATAAGCATTATATTTTATTTTATTTCTATTTTATTTTATTCATCTTGTAATGGTAAAACTGTCACAAAAACATTTCCACTTGGGATTATTACAGTATTTCTGATTCTGATAATGTTACATTTTACCTATAAAAACACATGAAATGCTTATATGATATGATGCAGTACAAAAACAAATCTAAAATTAGCACCAAATTGACAACATTAAAATGCTCATGTATTGGCTATTGATAATTGAGCCTAATTGTAGGCTAATTATAAAAACATAATATTGTGAAAAGTGCATTTCTGTATTTAGATTACTTATACTGTTGATACCATACATTTAGCTGATATTAAGTATATACCTCTGCTCAGCCTCTTCTCACATCTTCATTTCCTGTCCTGCTAAAGTGTTTCCAGTCCTAATAAGTCAAGCATTTTGGCTTTACGCACTGTTAGGAGGATACCATGCAATTATCCTGTACCCTAAAAAACAACTCACTTTTTGTGATAACATTTTAAAATAATACATCTGGCAACAGGACAGAATGTTACATGCAGTGTAACTCTGTGACAATAGAAGCATATAAATGATGTTAGCATTGCATGTGTAGAAAGATAACACTATCTGATGAAAAGCCCACCCAACAGTTGAGCTGAATAAAACATCAAGCAGGAAAGCTCAGTCTGCTGGCTCATTATGTCCCTCTCATTAACATTCAGAAACTACACTTCCTGTCACAATCAACAAATGTTACATGCTTGTATAATGTGCCTTTTTCTATCTGTCAACCAAAAATTGAATGTGAATCATATTATTCATATGTAAAATAGGCTTTTTGCAAATGCATACACATACACATCAACAGCATGTTTACGAGAGAGGGAAGTGTGTGATGAT